TACTTTTATGAAAATATTTTCAATAAGGAATTTTTTGATATAATTTTCACATTCTAAATAATTTCATATTAAAATATATCATTGGTCAAAATTGAGTGCCATTGACCAAGAAAAGTCAATTTGGCAAACCTTTTTGGGACAGAGGGAGTACTAAAAATATGACTAAGGTTAATGTGAGTATAATATCATGCTCACTTAAGTGTATATAAATTCAAATAAAGTTAGTCACTACACTTAATGGTACACATTTTTGTCCACTATCTTTAGTTTAGTTATAAGTATGTCATTATTTCTCAAGTAGTAGCTCTACAAAAATTAAAATAATAAGTAAAAAGTTAAAACGCCTTTTGACCCCTAGGCGAGTTTGACGCCTAGGCCTAGCCTAAACTCGCCTAGGCTTCAAAGGCTCCGGGCTTGATCGTGCCGCCTCGACACGCCTTACGCCTTTTAGAACATTGTCTCGAGTCTGATTTACGGATCCAAATCTCCAAGACTCCAACGCCTCAAAGCATCCCCAGGACTGCCAAAGAATCTAGAACGACTGAACGCTTGAACCTTACCTGTGACGTGTTGCGTTTCCAGAAATCCGACCCGCTGACCGCCGACTGTCCGAAGACTCTGAACCTTTGATTTTTCCCAAATAGTGTTTTTATTCAATTTATCTCTTTTTCAATATCATTTGTGCATAATAAGTTTTTTAGTCTAGGGCCTCCGAAATGCTAAAGACGCCTATGTTCGTCAGCCAAGGAGATCAAAGCAGAATTAGATCTTATACTTAGTCGAAATAAAGCTTGTATCTAGACATTGTTTTGTAATGGGCCCCCAAGCCCAAGACTCGGGAGCCCTAACTCATGTTTTTCCTATGAATACTCCCTTTGGGGGTAGTTGTAAGGGGTTGAGAAATACTAGATTCTCACCCGTGCGATGCACGGGACAAAAATAAACTAATAGATATGTCCTTGTTTGTCAATAAGGATTAAATTATTAATTCATGTATAAAAGCGTGAAAATATTAAAGACGTGATATACGTAAAAAATTATAATCAAAGAAACGATAGTTAGGACTCATGCATCGGTAGTGAGTATGTTTTGGAATAAGCATAAATAAACAAATGTTACAATAAGATTTATACAATTTACACATTCTGAAACACTTTCTTGTAAATAACATTGATAGTATGGTCGGGTTGTTCTCCACTTTCACCATAAATAAAATATTTCAAACCCTTACGATTTGTTACTCTTGATACTGCAACATACAATTGGTCATGCGTAAACACTAACTTTTATAATAAGATGTCAACATGCGACAAAGATTGATCTTGACTCTTATTTATATTTATCACATAAGAGGTCACGACTGATTTAAGTAAATTTAGTTTAAATATCTAGTTTACCTATCTAATAAATATATTCAATTTTAAATTATAGTGGTCATGAAGTTACAGTTATAGTAAATTTACTCAAATTTGAATACATGAGTTTAATTTGAAAAACATTGTCCGAACAATCTCTAAATATTTTGAATTTCTTATATACTAATAATCAACGTCAATAGTTATAACAATTAATAGCAACATTAACATTTCTAATTTACATATGCAATCACCCCATTATAGTATATATAGTAATTACCCCACTGATTTTGGTGATTTGCCTACTGTGTTTGAAAAAACCCCATCAAAACTATTTTTGAAAAAAATGATAGGATAGCCTAATTTAATTATTGTTTAAATAATCGTAACGTTTTATTATGAAAACCTTTATGAAGGATGGAGGTAGCAATAATTTTGATATTAATAATTATTAATTAATATGATTAATAATTAATAATAACAAAATTAAACCTATTTTATATTTATATATTTTTCACGTCGTAGAAATTCATAATTTGAATATATAGAAAAAGAATATGGAGTATAATTTACTAACTTAATAAAATTATAGGCCTTTGACAACTACCCATTTGTACAGGACAATTCTAACATGTTTTACATGGCCCAATTAAATCCCACCCAGCCCAACACCTTAAATTAAAACCTACCTAACAACCCAAACCTAACCCTTCCTATAAAAACAACCTTTTACCCTTCAGCCTAACCATTTACCCATCAGCCTTTTCAACCGACCATTGTCGTATCTTCTTCATTCAGTCTATGTCGCTAAACCCTGAGCCCTCGTTGATGTCTGTGAAGGTGGCCGTTTCTTCCTCTGTTGGCAGTCTGGGGAAGATCAAGATGGATATCCGTCTAGGTGCATACTCTTTTTCGTGGAGAAGTTTGTCTCGGTCGAGTTTTTTGTTTGTGCAGGCTGGAATGGTGGTATGATTTGTGTTCAACCGTTGATCAGGTATGATTTTTTGTTCTTTATTCATTGTCTAGGGCTGTTGATTTTGAATATCGTTAATTACTCTTCTGATGACCCCTTTGCTTGATGATGATGATGGGCGTGTCTCGGAAAAACGAATAAATATTAATTAAATAAAATTAATTAATAAATTAATAAATAAAATAGCCAAAAGAAAACAGAAAATAGATGGAGAATATTTTAGCCAGAGCTCGTGCTACGCACGATGTCCTTAAAACGTATTCGTCGCCTCCCACGGTATTGTGCGTTGTATTTTGTTGCAAAGCACCTGCCAGCTATAAGTCCCTCTGGTGCGAACAGAGCAAGCTTGGAAAAAATAAGGAACGTTTACGGGAAGAAACAAAGCTTAATGATAGATTTTTCGGACGACATTCGTGCCCGTAGGTCGCCCACGCACACGAGTCGCGGTTTTTCTTCTCCGTTTCGGGATTTGATCGGCACCCTCCTTGCGCGCGAAAGAGAGCCTCTACCTTAAGGAATCTTAACTCCTTAAAAGAGGCTTCCCTTTATAAGGGGGTGAAAATCCCTTGAGTTTTCCGGTGTGGTATAAACACACTAGAAACCCATCATTTTCCCAGTTTTTTTCATTTCAACGAGTGAACTTCGAGAATCAATTTCTCATTCACCCGTTATCCGTTTTGAACGTACCATATATCGAATTGTAGCCCTTAACAAGGACAATCCGAAACCACTTTGACCCGACCCAAATGATTAAATCAGATCCCGGGTAGAAGTCACTGCATCTTGTCCAACAGTGCATGTTGAACCCTACCCTAGATCACTCACTTGTCTCCCAACAGACAGGTGTTTAATCATATTTCACGGGGAACCGCATCTCTCATTACTGTCTCCTTCCGAGGCAAGTGATACTGACTACAGTGGCCTCAGCCCCATGCCACTGAACTTTCATTGCTCACGTCGTATCTAGTTACCTCACTCCCAAATGTTTTGAAATTTCTAGGACACAAACGCACTTTTTGAGTCAGTTGCAAGTCTTCATGACCCGCGAGAACTTCCATAGGGCTCATCTGTTACAGATGTAGACCAATGATTGGAAGGAAGTCCTGCTGTTGCAACATAAGAAGCACCAACATTTTCAGGCCATTGCTTTAGAGTTTATCTCTATAGTGATGAAAACGGACGTCCACACGACCCTGGGGGCTACGTTATCATTTTACCATTCTGATTGTTCTTCATGTTTTATTTCCGCAGAATAAAAGAATAAAGGCATGACGCCCCGATTCATCGGATCGTCATGAGGAGGAGAGTGGTCCACATGCTGTTAACTGTCAACAAATCATTCTCGGACACTTCCTCCACCACAAAAATAATCACCCTATTTTTCCTATCTCTACACCTCAAATGGTCCGCTACGTTCACAAATCAACCTTCATTTTCCGCTGTGCCACCGACAAGGTCTCCTCAAATGCATTCAATTCAAATAGTCAAAAAGACTACATTGTGGAGGAGACAAAGGTCAGATACTCGCATATCCCGTGCGCGCCTGGAACTCATCAGAACTATCATTCTAGAGGTGCCACCGGACTTCACTCAAGCTGATCAAGAGCAACTTCTGGAAGGCAAGGACAACATGCAAGATACTGGAGATTTCTCAACCCCCGGCATCAAAGATCAAATTGCCAAGAACACATCAAAGGGGGGATTGCAAGGATTTCTTCAGAAAGCCTTCTTAAGAAGTCAAGTTCAACGACAAAGGAAGCTGAGCTGTACTGAAAGACAAAGATATTCACGCTACAATGCTGATTCAACACGATTGAACACCAAGGGGGAGATTGTTGAGAATATTTTAATGGTGTCCAATCTGGTTAAATATCTTTGTATTTGTGTAGTTATTAATTAAACATGTAATACGAGCCACAAATGTGTATCAGCCCGTTAGCTTCTTTGTAACCCATAAGTTAGCCAACTTCTCCTATAAAAGGAAACTAACTTATGGGAACCCTAAGGTTTTGAGAGGCTCGAGAGCATAGAGGCGAGATAGAGAGATTAGGGTTTTTCGCTGCTCTCTCTGTCGAGGGAGAGCAGCGGCGTTTTTCCACGGTATACCAAAGGCGTTGATTATCTTGATATCTTTCTTTCTGCTTCTTCCTTATATGCTATGATTGTTTGATTGTTAGAGAAAACCGGGAACAACAAAAATGATCAGAAATATGGATTCTAACTCAAAATGGGGCGCGGGGCCTTGGTTGTTAAGAAGAGAGCTATGTTTAAAAAACCGACCGGACCCGGTCGGGTCGACCCGGAACCCGGCGACCCGGACCAAAAACCGATTCGGTTTGTTCAAAACTCGGAAATGGTCAAAAACTGGAAAAATCCGGCCCAGGCCCGGACCCAAGAAACCCGAAAAACCGGGAAAACCCGGTTTTGGGTGCTTTTAAAAAAAATAATTTCTTTTTAATTTTAATGCAGTTTTTAAACCAATAAAATTGCAATTTCAATCCCCTAAAAAAACTATGTAATATATTTATATATTTATTTAAGAATGAAAATCATGCCAAATAATAATATAAATTTATAATACAAATAAAAATATCATTATATATTTTTATAGGATCAAAATTATACTTTGAAATATTATGAGAATGTATTAAATGCTTAATAAGTAGTATTATTGGTTGAAAACCGAAGAATTCTTTGATGCAGTGACCTTAGATGGAGAGGAGCAATTTGGTATTGCGGACGAATAGCAATAGGCAGAGCTTAAGCAACCGAGGCATTCAAATCTATCATAATATTTGATCAGAAATTAATCGCCGATTCACATCGACCATCGAGATGACGAGGAGAAGATGCCAAAATCGAGTTCCCATTATCATTTCTTCTTCGTCGTCTTCCGGATCAGAAGAGGCAGAATACTCTGAAACGTCAGAGTCGGATTACGAATTTGACGGCCACTCTGTAGACACCTTGTCTTCTACTTCATGGTGATCACGACGATCTCCAATTGACCTAATATTCTTTTAATGTTTTCCCAAGTCGATCCTTAACTATTGGACTATGACCCATCTGCTTCTCCGTTGCGATTTTCTCCCTTCAGCGAAATTCACCCTGAAAGTGAAGAAAGTGAATGGAATGAGTCAGATGATGAAAGAGACGAGTCTACCGAGTCCGAAGAAGTTAAAGAGGAGGATAGTGATCAGCATTTGAGCAGAGCTATCCGTTTCCTTCGAGGTGTGGAGATTTAGCCTAATGTATTTTTTGAATGTATGAGTAGTTAATTGAATGTATCTCCCCAGATAAAAAAAATTGAATGTACTTGCACGGTTGCACCAATATGGATGGTATACTTCATGATAGTGTGGTGTTAACTCTATTGTGTAGGGAAGGGTGAACTGGAGGATTTAAAGTTGGTGGAGTGTAAAGCATATTTAAGAAAGAATGGGTTAAGATTATCTGGGACTAAGGAACAATGCGTGGAGAGGATCATGGAGCACTGGAGGTATGTTTCCCTACTCATTCAAATTGAAATCTTTTAGATTTTCAATTTCATAATGATTTATTGCTGCCATTATTTGGGAAATATCTTTTGTTGTGTAAGGTGTTTGTACCCAAGTCGGGGTGAGTCGTGTGATCATGGATATGTTTAAACTTGTGGATATGTTTAAACTTTAAAGTCCGCATGATATATTGATAGGCTGTCTTGATGTAATGTATTGACCATAAAACTATAAAAGCAACGAGGGAACAAATCCAGTTTTATGAAGTTTCCTTCTCCTTTCTTCATAGTTCATTCTTGTTTGTTTTATTTGACACAAAAGAGAGTCTTTTATCAGGTAAGTACACGTTCACAAACAGAATACTCCGTGATATGGAAAGGAGTAGACTTAACAAACAGTTTGGAAATGAATAAACTTAGAAACATCAACCAGCTCTTTACAAAAGCACCAAAGTTAGCTCCTTGGTTTACTGTTCATTTTTTATTTTTCCCATGATCCGATCAACTCCCTGAGAAACTGACAAATATTCTCCTTCGGTCCTTCCCCCCTCCCCCCTTAACTCCTGATTGTGGTCTCATAGATCACATCATTTTCATAGATGACTTACATTCATAAAGCTACAGTTTTGGTTAATTTCCTGATAAGTGGATTCCATTTAGAGTTTAGATATCTCATAAACTTGTGTTGCTCAGGATAAAAGATGGAAAGGGTGAAACATTCTACCCTAGATCATCATTCAACATTGACTGCACTGGTATTTTTATATGGCAAAGCAGTATACATGCAGTTCTTTCAATTCTTTTTATCTAAGCCATTTCCTTTTTTTTGCTTTGAATCTTCTTCTAGGTGATGTCTGCAAAGGAGACGTGGTATTATTCACACAAAAAGTGTACAATAAGTATTCACTATTCTTCCCTTCTGTGGTTTGAACTTTTGAGTCCTAGATTTGAAATATCCCTCAGAGACTCTTGTTCACGAACATATTTTTCCCCAAAACAGAACCACATTTTAAAATTCATCTTTTATTTTTAATTCAAGTTCATGCAACTCCAAGCTGCAAGCTTGTGTTGTCGATGACTCTAAACAATCCTCAAAATAATTTTATAAGGGACCTTTCATTATTGTATAACCTAGTACCGGATTTGACATATTCAACTATTCAAGTGTAGGTTCTAATTGAGTTATCTTCTTCAGATTTGATAAGATGACAAGAAGTGGCAAAGTTTCTGGAAAGAGAACTATTGCTGGGAGAATTGTTAAGGAAAGTTATGGTGCTGCAAAGCAACAGCATACTTTTACTGTAAGTATTAGTAGATTTGTAGTCAGTTTTACAGCAATAGTTATGAATGACCACCAAAATAAAAATGCAAAGGCTGAGTGCGCGGTTAACAAATATTGACAATATCAGTCTGGATGATCTGCAGTCTTTGAACTCATCCTCCATTTAATTCTTTGGTGCTAAATTAGGTTGAAGTCTTGTGGAGTCAAGGTGTTAAGAAATTGCCTCCACTTTTTCCTTTGCTTGTGAAGGGTCGAAATCTCTACAAACTGAAGACTTTCAGACAGGTGAGTTACTATTCAGTATGGAAAATTTTATTTGAGTTAAGGGACTAAAACACCCAATGAACTATAAGAGGCGCAACAGTTACCACATATACGTCTTAACTAATTCTCGGCACAAAAGTACTCCTGAACTATATAATTGCTACACTATATCCCAAATCTTATTTTTAGGTACATTTTTGTTCAAATATTATTTATACTTTAAAATCAGGTTCTAAGATATGTTTATCTATAGCATATCCATGGTCTAGTATATGACCCCTAATTGTCAAGTACTCGCCGAGTACTTGACGAGTGCTCACTACTCGGGGTAGGACCTTGCCGATTTGTACTCTGAGTTGCACTGTTCAATTTTCACTACTCGGTGACAAGGTTGACTCACCTAATTAATCGATAGCCAGTAAAATTTAATTTTTGGGGTTAAATCTGAAAAGTTTTAACTAAATTGGGATATTATGGAATTTATGAAGAATTATTAGGTATACTCTCTCCGTCCCTTAAAACTTTGCCATCTTTCCTTTTTTGGACGTCCCAAAAAACTTTGCCACTTTCCTTTTTAATCACTTATTTTGTGGTTTCTGTTATTTCTCTCTCCTCTGCACGAACATCAACCACACAGTTTTTACTTTATTATTCTCCGTGCCGGTCAACTTTGTCAAAGTTTTAAGGGACGGAGGTAGTATTAAACATCGGAAAAATAATATTACAAAGTCAGTCTAGGTTTGGGGACATGGAGGATGATTAGTTTAGATCTTTAGTATAAAAGTTTAGAATAAAGTATTATTAGGTGATCGACTTTTTGGAAGTTAGAAACTTAGAATGCTTATTATGTCGGGATTTGCTGCTACTTCATCACTTGGATTATTATTGTCTGTTCATATCGAAGAATAATAAGACTAATTTATTACTCCGTACTAGAATGTTGGGGCATTTATATTTTTAATTGTACTTACTACAGGTCCTAGTAATCCCGAGTAATCAGTCCTAATCGTGACTCGGCCCTTGAGCGCGTTACCACCGAGTAGAGATTTAATTACTCACCATGGCCCAGAACTAAATAAAAGCTACTCCCTCTGTTTATTTTACCTGATGCCTCTATATGTGTATTCCCAATGAAGATATTAATAACTACCAAACCTCTGCAAAAGGGTGATTGGAAAAAAGAAATTAACCATAATGAGCTCTCCTTGCTAAACCCTAAAACATCAAGTAATAAAAACAGAGTATTTTTTCTTGATTTTCATGCACATCTTAACATAACAACACTGATACTTTCAAAGGAAAAAAATAATGTAAGTTCCACTAAACATTGAGTTTAAAGATTCTTTTACGTGGCCTTGGGAAACAATTATTTCTTAGAAATTCAGTTTTTTTCATAATTGAGTACAAAATGTATCTAAAATCCAGTTAAGGGTATGTGTGCTCCACAAAATATTACTTTCTCCATCCCAGTAGATAGTCTCATATTTTTTTCGATCTGTCCCACTAAGATGTCCCATACCAAAATGGTAAAGTTTGTGTTATTCCAAATCATTCTTACTTTTTTTTCTTTATCAATTAAATATCAATCACGTAAATTCACTTTTCTTAATAACCGCACCTGCTCCTCATGTCCCAATGTTAGTGAGACGGAGGTAGTAGTATATTGTGCCTTGAGTCCTTGACCACATTTTGTTTCTAGTTGTACAGTTAACATGTACTTTTGTGCCTTGACCAAATTTTGATTACTAGTTGTAAATTGTAATCATTAACTAATGCTAGTGGTAAATATTTTTTTTCATGCTCCATTTACCAGCGGTGGAAAAATGAGAAGGAAAGATTAGGAGTACTTTCAGAGAAGCATAGGCGAGGAGCAGCTGCAAGATTGGTCAGAGAAACTAGAAAGATGAGATCAATGAAGAGAAAGCAATCCCTTACAAGAAAAAAAGGTACATTTAACACAATGTATATGTTTTCTTCGGTAAAAATACATATGATTCTCCCTCACTCATATTATTTTGCTCATCACACAAAAAGTTCCAATGTTTTGGTCTCTATACTATAATTCTTATATCATTTTAGTAGATTAAGTATTCTGTCCATTTTATTTCCATCATTTGCAATGGAGCCAAAGATTCATTATTTTTTGGCTTGAGATTATGATGGAATAAAGCAAAATGGCTCACTAAACTGTTTGCGCTTCTTTGTTATGAAGCAGCAGTCAGTCCATGCAATTTTGGACGGGATTTTCACTATGGGTCATCCGGAAACAGTCTCTCTGTTCTTTAGTACAGGGGTAAGATTGCGTACATCCGACCCCCCCTTACCCCACCGTAGGTGGGAGCCTTTGTGGCACTGGGGTAAATGAAAATGAAAAATGAAAATGAAAATGAAGTATTCTGTCCATTTTATTGTGAAATGCCAGATTACATGCCCTGTGATGCTATGTGGTATGCTATCAGAGTATGAGCTACTTAACAGTTGACAACCCCCACATGGTATTATCGTATGATGTCACGTGGCTAATACACCGAAGCATGTGTGGTGCCGGCGCACCGCACAGCAAGTGTGAACTAAAATGTTGAAACTTTTAGTTTGAGGACCACAATCATATGATCAGGGGCGGTCCTGGGTGAGGGGCAGAGGGAGCAGGGTACATAGGCCCAAAAAAATTGAAAAAAATTTAGGCCCATAATTTTTTCTTTGTATTATGTTTGAGTAGGCTGAGTTTTTAGAGTTATACTATTAGTTTTGTCCGACCCAACAACCCAAATGCCCAAGAATACGGAAGCTCTTTGCGGCTAGTTGTATTAGAATTACTTGAAAACTCCCGTTTGTGAAGACTATGGGTTGCTATCCGAACACAACAATTGCTTATAGGATATTATTGACAATATCGGTAACTGTGGACATTGCGGAAAGAAGTTTTCAGAGTTGAAGATTCTTAAAAACTATCTACGATCAACGATAACTCAAGAAAGGATTTGATTACGTTTAATTTAATGAATTCAAGTATTTTGTACCCTATGCCTTCAAATATACAGGGCCGCCCCTGCATATGATGTCAAAAACTGATGGATCACATATGTTTTGTACCCTTTTTTCTGGAGTTCTTTAATCCAATTATTTGAATGATAATTAGGTGCCAAAAAGCGGAAGCGTGAAGATCACATCCAGAAGCGTGGCAACAACAAAAAAACTAAATCTCACCATGGTAGAAAACCTAAAGAAATAACCTCATCTCCACCTCAAATACCTCCAAACCGTCCAAATGTTAGTTATCAAGCTAGGGGTAAAGCATCTCAACCGTTCAATTCTCAGCCTGATATATATCACAACCAGGGCACACTTTTTCCTCAAAATTATGGTCAATTTCGATCTGAAGATTACAACCAGAGAATCACATACCCAGTTTCATATGAAAGGGCATTCGTCTGTACAACGGATTTGCCTCACGTAAACACTTCATCTTCTGTAATGTCTAGTAGAAACCGCAGAGAATATGGCCGTAGACATCACCCACACCCTTAGTATGTACATAACACCTTTACCATGTGCACAGAGGTAAATTTTGATATTTGCACTAACACTTTGGTATCAACCAGGATTTTTACAATACTCCCCGTGTTTTCTATTTGTTCTCTAGATTCTCATTTTGGAACTTTTTCAATATTTGCTCCGGCTCCCTGTGTTTTCAATACATTTTGGCAAATGTATCATATCAAAAGGTATACATACTCTTGCCTTTTCATCTTTTTTACATTATCTTGTTTTCCACTTTTTCGCCTATTCTCTTTTTATGTACTTTGTATTATTATTCATTATCTCTATAAGTTTCTACTTAAAAACCTTTATTACTTACTAAAGCATCTAATAAAAAGTGCAAAATAACAGCAAGTACACATACCATTATTAATACTATTATTTTAGAAACATACCATTTCTCATCTTGTATGGTTTACAAATAGAGGAGCATATTTTTTTTCAACATCAGGTAAGAAGTAGAGGCATACACATTTATTTTTTTAAAATGGTGTGCAAAGTCTAATACCACCCAAACAATGGGGTGCAAAATTAAATTTCCCCTAGAAGTATTGCCTGTGAACATTTTTTTTCCCACTTGTTTTCAAGTTCTTATTAATTGCCGTGTACACAATGCAATGAATATATTTTATGTTTGCACAAAATGAAAAACTAAAGTAGTATCTTTATATAAAACTACTAGTAATAATGTTATATATGAATTTATTCATTTGACATGAATTTAATGTTAAAAATTAATATTAATAACTATTTTAAGCACATATAAGTAAACAACAAACAAGCAAATAAGAAACAAATAAGTGTTCTTATCATTGGGCTAATTTTTGGGACTGGTATTGTGTTGAATGCATTGTAAATTGTTTTTTTATTTCCAGGATTTTTCTTAAAAAAGAAGTTAACGTTAGAGATTTGTTGAGTCAGTTGAACAACATTTTTATTGCTTTTATTGAACAGCATTTCTATTGCTTTTATTCGGAATTTGCTAATTGTGTCTCATGAACTTGCAAAAGCGATCGTTTCTTTGTCTGACTACCATGTTTGACTGTTTGAGTGCTAGACTGCTAGGTCCTCCTAGGGATGGACTGGAATGGGCCTACCCGGCCCACCACTGTGCGGACCTGACCCGGCCCGGTTGATCGGGACCGGGACCAAGCCCAGGGCTTGACCCGGAAGAAGAAGCAGCAGGCGGTACCGAGATTTGATTTTAGTGGCCCGGCCCAGCTGGGCTGGGGTCTAATGCTTAAGAGTTAAAAAAAGGGCTTTAAATTGTTTGGCCCGACCTGAGTCACCCGACCTAGTCCCGCCCCGAATCCTGCCCAGGTAGCCCGGCCTGAACTGGTCCTGGTACAAACTTGGGTCGGTACCAGCCTACCAGGCATGAAATTCTTAGCTAGGCTCGAAGCCCGCCCAATCCCGGCCCGAGGTCCGGTCCGTCCTCTTATCTTTATTTTTAATGCTCTTCACCATGCTTTGATTAATAATAGTTGAGTTTATTGTATGCAAAAAAATAAGTTGATATGGGATGAATATATCCTTATTCTTAATAATAACTCATAACTAGAAAAATAAATGATCGATTATATCATGGACACGCATAATTAATTAGGTCTACCAAACACCTACTAAATTTTAAAAATTTAAAAAATAAAATTCACAATCCGTCTTATCAGCCACTTTTCATCAAACACATAATTTTTTATCATATGCATTGAATTTTGCAATAATCAAAATAAATAGAGTTGAAGTTATTTTTTTATTAAATTAACTAAATTTACTATACAGAATCATTTAGCTATTTTTAATATAATTTTATTCTATTTCGTTAATAAAATATATTTAAATTTAATTTTACATAATTTAGTAAAAATAGGTAAACATGTAAATTCGCAATTGATCACAACCAATTTCGTCAGTATCTTTTCCACCTGCCTCTTCTAGGCGGCTCTTCCCACCATCTATTACTATCTTTTCCTTTCCCAAACGCTAAGTTACTTTGTGAATGTAATGATAGTCATAGGGAGCAAGATTGTTTCATCTCTCATGTTCGAGAATTGAACCCTAAACTTCTCTCACTAAGGCTTCCCCCAACCGGGACGATGAATACCCAAATTTAAGATTTTAACTGTCAAATATAGGGTCATGCTTGGGTGTACACAAGATGTACACAAAATGTGTACATTGCCTGTGTACACAGACAATTGGGTATCAAATTCTGCCATTTTCTAAATGAATTGCATGTGTACACAGGCAACTAGAGGGGTTTTGTGTACAGTTTGTGTACAACTCATGTATCCCGGGACCCCGTGCACCTCGAAAAAAAATACCTATATATATTATATATATATATATATTATATAAAATTAATTATTCAATGTATATTTAGTAAATTATTTACTAGGAGGTCGCCTGGTTCGAAATATTTAGTAAATTATTTACAAGGTATATTATTTACACAATAAATGACATAAGAAACAAAAGAATGGAGTAGTGCACCGGTGCTGTGTGCTTATTCCAAATAGGAGGTCGCCTGGTTCGAAACCAGGCCACTTCTTTTTATTCCTCTTTTCAGTGCTGGGCTTGAACAATGTATACAAATATCCAACAAAAATGTCAACTTGGTTCATTTAGCTCATTGGTTGAATATGTCTTTCTTTGTCCAAATGACTAGAGCTCGAATCTCATCTCCACCTTTCTTAATTTTTGCTACTTTTCTCCAATTTACTTATTATTTTCTTTGAAGGAAATTTCACTTTTGTTATCCTTCAACTTGAACTTTTATTTTCTTCATTTCTTTACGCTAAATGTATCCAAATAAAATCAAATGTACCAGAAAATACAAATACACGCATAGGACTGCACTATTACAAATTAACGACAAATAATAAAAATATGTACAAAAGTACAACTTTAATAACTAAAATTATCAACAAACTAAGCCTAAAAAGTGTGTAAAATATAAGCACATCAGTTGCCCAGGTTTTTTCCTCTGCTGCTTTTCTTTGCATATCTTTTTTTAATTTCAGATTAAATTAATAAATTCATGTATTTATAAATGTTATTTTCAATTTTATACGATTTAGGATGAAAAGATATTTTGATGTTATACCCAAATTTAAAGAAACCTAGAGTAATGGGAGTAGTTCAGGTGTTAATTATAATGATTCGTCATTAGTAAATGAAGAATTGGATCATTTTTTTATTAGTTTTATACTTGTAGTAATTAGAGATTAGAGATATAAAAGGGTAGGGATCCTTTAGCTCCGACTTTCTGGGTCCGCCACTTATGTAGTTATGTACACTAAGCATTTCTCGTCAAATATATTCCAACTCATGAATTTTATGTGTAAGAAAGTGGACAAATGGCACTTATTAAGTGAGAATTTGTTGGATTATTCATCGAGAGAGAGTTGAGCTGCAGTCGTGCCTTGATGCTCGCATGAAAATTGAAAATATGTTTGTGCTTCATTTTTTATAATAAAATATATTAAAATTTTTGATTTTTCATGATCTTTCAAATGACATCAATATTGTATATACAAAAAAATTAAGATCTTATAGTTAAAATACATTTTTACATCTTTCAGTTATTTTTTAAAAAACATGTCTAAATTAACATTAGCAAAATTTAACTCCAAATTTATTTATATTTTTACATCAGAATGTTTGACTTTCAAAAGTTATAATTATTCACAAAAAAATTCTGAGAAAAAAATGACGTATAATTATAAAAGGAAGGATTTAATTAAAAGAAATTGTTGGATGAAAATATTGACGGTACTAGTTTGCAGTAAAAACTGAATTGATTAATTGAATATGTATAAACCGATGAAATATTTGATTTATTGACGTTAGTGGGTTGAGGTGTCAAAATTGTTGTAGCGTCGTCACCCAACTAACCACGTTACCCTTCCCCTCTTAATTCAAGTATAGCTTGTTAGAAACCATTTGGAAGGTTATCTTCCTCATTTTATGGAATTATCAAGTTGCTTTAATTTCAAGAAGCTCGAGTATGTTTTCTCTGTAAATAATGTTTATTTACATATTAATATTGCTAAATTTTCACAGTAATTAATATATGCAATTCAGCAATGATATTTACATTTTAGGCATTGGATTATCATGGTAAATTCACATTTATATTTTAGGCATTGGATTATGGTGGTTGCATGTACTGTATTAGGGCACGTAACCATTCGAAATTGTGTCCCAATTGTCCCCCCATCCCACCTGCATTGTCTCTTCCGTTGCTACTTCAAACGGGCCTACAATAATAATTTCCATAACTTTTAATTGAATAAATATATTCTTACAAATCCCATATGTTTTTTTATCTTTATTGATTCTTTATATTATTAGTCATTTACATTTCACCTGTGATTTCATTAGACTTGATTTCCTTCATAATATTAAATAATTTAGGTGTAGAATAATGATTAAATATAACATGTACAGTATGTTTAGTAACAAATTATAATATGTTGAACTTTAAATTTTCAAAGAAAAGATAATTTCAAATCAAATTATATGTCAATCTCCTAAATTGCACTGTTGATCTTGCCTTTTGATTTTACAACTCAAATTGTACTTCTAATTTATTTGACATAAGAGATCAAGTAAGATAATTATTCCAATTAAAGAGAATAATGAAAGAAAAAACTACATTATTACATATTAATAAGATAGAAAATGATATTGTAACTTGTCAGAAATTTAATGCATACAGGTGAAAGAAAATTAATAAGATACTCCATAGTACATTGACCCGCCTCAATACTGATGGCATCAGTGGCATCACTGATGATCTTCCAAAGAGGAGGTCGCAGGTTCATATCTCATCCCAATCAAGGATGGTGACATTAAAATGAGCAGATGTTATAATAGGTTTAGTAGAATATTAAAGTGATTTCTTTAAAAAAAATGTGCCCCTTCTGCACAAATACATGTAAAATGTATCAATTAGCATTAAAATGTCTAACAATGTGAATTAAATTGTTTTTTCCATCATCATCATAATTCATCATTACCCTAGTGCCGTAAAGGTTCCCACCTACGATGGAGTAAGTGGGGTTGAATGTATGCAACCTTACGTCATGTACTAAAGCACAGAGAGACAAAAAAAAATTCCCCAATGTGACCGTTTACTAACGACGCAAACGGAATCACTCCTTTTTCATTATCTATGAAATAACAAAAATATCGGTAAAAATATACTCCCTCCGCCCCCCTAAAATTGTCCCATGTTTCCTTTTTTGGATGTCCCCTTATTATTGTTTCATCCCATATTTGGTAACATTTGTGTGACTCTAATTCATTCCTACTTTATTCTCACTTTAATTATCAACTCATTATCAACCACATAATTCTACTTTTCTTAAAAACCACACCACTCCCTTCTGTCCCAATATTAGGGGGACGGAGGGAGTTTGAAATAATTATATATATATATATGAATAAAATTAGATTGTTTACAAAAATATAACTAGTGAGTAGAGTAGTAATGAAATCATAACAACGTACGTAACATTTTAAACTTCAATGACCATGAAACTGCAATGTAGTAAATATCAGTTATATTTGTATAAATAAGTTTTATTTTTAATAATTTTTAAAAAAAATCTAAAAATATTCACCAGATTTATGGTTTGATAAAAAAATCGAGACATTCTCAAGAGTGTCATGTATCTTTCCACAAACACATTCAAATAATATTCGCTCAAATATCTCTACTTTCATTTAAATATGCTATTACTATAAATCATTCGAAGTATGTTCTGAACACAACCCATATGTTACATGAAAATCGGCTAATTTGGTTGATTCTACTAAAATTAATAAAATTAATGAAATTCTGACTATAAAATTATGATGATTTAAGAAAAAATTATTTTTAAAATATATTTTATTAATAAAATAAAGAAAAAAACATGTGTAAAAATAGCTAAAATGGTCATCTACAGTAACTTCAACCTTACTTTTTCTGCTTATTACACCACTCAGCGCGCGAAAACAAAAGTTATGTGTTTGATGAAAAAATTTGCTGATAAGTCTGATAAGCCGAAAAACAATGTTGCCAAACGGCCTCATATACTCCGTATTTCATAAAACAAGTCCATCGCAATTGGTGCATTATTCAAAAATATTTGTATCAATTCTAAAGAATTTGCAATAATCTGATAACATATCAAAGTATTAACATAAAATGATTCAAAATCTCAAATTTAAGTTTGTGAAAACAATGACGACATAAGAACACATATGAATTGAGTATAAATAGGAATTGGCTGGGGGGCATTCATGACACCTCAGTTTTCGCGCTAAATTATATCCCTTTTTAAGCATTTCACATCATTGATCCATGAGGATAAATCAAACATGAGTACTTAGCGCAACAAGGAAGGCAAGAAACATTGGGGGTTGATACGTTTCTTAATCGAAATCAGAACTACACAGAACCGGGACCTTGCAACCAAGTGAAGGAGTTGGGGACGTTCTAAAATTAGAATTATCGCCGTTGTTAGAACCCGAACCAGAACCAGAAGTTTGGGTACCGAATAAGAATCTTGATTATTCCGAAACCGGAAACAAACGATCCAATACCAGAACGGTACCAAAACTGGACCATGTGCTCCTCCCCAATGGATGCACACACACATTGCCATCTGTTATGAGGATTGAATTGGGAATAGTTCAAAACAATAATTTGATCAATTGTCATGGCTTGGTGTTGGATGAATTTGTTGTACAGAAGAGGAGAGTTGAGATGTATAGGAGGGAGGGCGGAGGGTTGGGTTGGAAGGACGAATATTCAACTCTTGGGTCCATGCAGATCGGTGTTGAATGTGCAAGTGCCAGTAGGTGTTGGCCAGAGCTTCTGGGTCCATTGACAAATCATCCCCTCCCTGTTGTTGCCATGCTGCCACTGATGCTCCCCTGTGTATGCATATACATATTATGACTATAACTCTATAACTATAAGTGATGGTATTTTACATTAAAATGTACGGTACTCTGTGTATGATTAGTTTATGTATATCATTTCAGCATTTATATACGTTTGAAAGACTCATATTTGAAAGAGCTTTATACTTTAAATAGGATCACTTAGGTCCTATTTTTGGAATTAAACATAAGTACTCATTTATACACTTCCCCTATATTTTAGTCCAAATTGGAGTAATTTGTTTAGTCATATTTAAGAGCATTACAGCCTTACTCTCTTTTATACACCACAACACCATCTTTTATTATACACGTCCTTTGGGTAACTTGATTTTTTTGTTTCCATTCGTCTAAACCAAACAAACTCAAATGGGTTCGGGGATCAAACTTGAAAGAGTTTTAACTCGTGGAGTAAAAATTACACAGCAACAGTAAAGAACTAAGATCTGTTGGGTTGACTAATTTTAATTGATTTGCCAAGTCTACCAACTATCTAACTAAGGATTATGTGTGGTAACTTGGGGATAAGCCTGGCTGGTTGGTCTCAATATGCTAAGCCTTGAAAAGCTGAAGGACAGCTTTTAGGAATTCAGTCGATTTCAAATAACTAAAAAAGTATCCATTATTGTTGTTATTTTATCATTTGATCGCTTTTCAATCATTTGTATTATCTACTCCTCAATGATTAAAAAAACGGAGATGCCTCTCTATAGGTCGATTAACAACCCAGAAATCCAGTTGGCAAATCCAGCAAAAATCATATTATGAGGACCCAGCCGACTCGGTTCATCTTGATTCCGACCTTATGACTAATAAACCCCAGTCGACCCGTTAAAGCTGACGTTGAAATGATTGCGTTTGTTTGTTTAGTTAATACTCAATATATGATGTATATCTATAGTTTTCATAAAAGATCAAATAATCATGGGATCTTTTGATAAAGCCCATTGAAGACTGATAATTGTGCCAAAATGATTTCAAAATTTTACAAGAGCAACTAACCAGATAAATTATTTGTCAAGAAAGGATTAAAAGTTACGCTTGTGACTTTCATCCGTGTTTTTGAAGCTTGTAACGTATTTATATGAAATTATGAATTGATTATAATACAAATTAGTTACTTTTTACTTTAATTTAGCATTTATATATGGAGTATTATTATGTGTATAACTGTATACTCCCTCCGTCCCGCAAAGAAGTTCCCGGTTTGACCTACACACATATTAAGGAAATAAACTTACCATGAGTAAATTTTACTTTTTTGACACTGTTTGACACTGTTTTGCACGGTTTAGCACTGTTTTGTGGTAGATAACTTCCCATTTAAGGAAAGGGAACTTTTTTTTGGGAATGCTAAAAAAGGAAAGCGGGAACTTCTTTGCGGGACGGAGGGAGTATCATTTTTTTTTGCACGATCGGGTGATCTGGCATCCTGGCATTCGCTCGGTTGGCCACATGTCACTTGATCTACACATAGGGAAAAATAATTAAAAAACCCAAACTTTGAAGGAGTGTGAGGTATAATTGATTTAAATACCTCAAACTTTATATAAAAAGTTATTTTAGCAACATGGTCATGTATTATTTCTTTCAAAAAAGTAAATTTATGGTGGTAATTGCATAATTTAGAATAACAAATTAAAAGTGTTGCAATTATATAAATTAGGGGTAATATTATTTATTTCACAATGGAAGTTTAGAATATTAATTGTGTCTTCATTAATGCTAAAATATTTTTAATTACGCAATTAACACCCCAAATTTTCATTTTTGAAAGAAACAATACTTGACTATGATGCTAAAATAACTGTATACATAAAATTTGGGGTATTTAAATTAGATATGCAAGTTTGGGGTGTTTATCTCACACCCTTTCAAAGTTTGGGTATTTTAATTATTTTTCACGCATATACGTAACATTTGTTTAAACTTTTCAAGTATGGCCTTGATTTATGTCAAGATGAAAAAATGTTAGCAAAAAGTCAAGATGAGAGACATGGGACATTTTGTGTTTTAAAATTTTCCTTTTTAGGTAAATTAGAGCTTCACTTTCAGATACCCAAATGCTAAAAGGGAAAACTTGTTATCAAAGATATGTAATACGGAGTATAGTACACCGGAGTAATAGATAGATTAACAAAGGAAGAAATTGTTACTAACTTACTACGTTACTCTGGCTTTACAGAATTACACGTATATTCGGTAAAAACTGTACAAAAAAGAGAATTGTTAATAATCATGCATTTATCAAATACGGAGTAGGTTATACGGAGTATGTAGTAGAAAAAATAACGCAACATTTAATGTTCCACAATATTTTATTACAAAATATGTTCATGCTCATTCATGTCGGTCTGAATGTTGTCAAGTAATCAATTAAGAAAAGTTTTGAGTGTTCATGAGTTGTACATGAGTTATACGCTTTACTTCTTATGTGCACGGGAATTGGTTTGAAAAAAGGAAAGATTTAATGTCAAAACTCTCTAATTACCTGTCCACATGGACTATATAATTTGTGTACAAGAATGACCCATCTATTAATCATCTAATTTTATCGGAGTTTTCTTTTAAAGTAACGAACACAATCAAATTTAAAAAAATTACTGGTCTTTAATTAACTTTACATTTTCCTTTTTTGGTCATCTTATATTAAACTTTGCACTTCCTTATTTATCTTATTTCACAAACAAATCTACACCAAAAAGTGCAAAACATTGTCAAACATGGATGAAAATGGGAAAGATCGAAGTGTAAAAAGGAAGCGCATACCTGGGCGTGCCAACGATGCCATCGATGACGACGTGCGCCACGTGTATCCCCTGAGGCTGGAACTCTCTCGCCAGACACTGCGATAATCCTCTCAGTGCAAATTTCCCACAACCTTTCACGATTATCGCAAATATACAGAAAGATGATCGATATATGAGATTAAACGGATTCGTTATTCTAATTTTCGTTTGATAGAAATCACGAATCGATACATACATAATTCGGAAAATCCAGCAATGCCGGTGAGTGAAGCAGAGCAGCCACTGAAGATAATAGTCCCTCTCCCTCTCTCCACCATGCCCGGAATCACCTGCTGAGAACAGAGGAACGCTCCGACGGCGGAGGACGCCATAGATTTCTCGAAGTTCTCCACCCTAACATCTGTGAAATTGGTAGCGAGCCAAGAGAGTTGGTGGTACACATTGTACACCAACACTTCGACGAATCCGAGTGAGAGAACGCCCTCGAATGCTTCTCGTATGCTCCGGCACTCCGAGCAGTCGATCCGGATGGCGAATACCTGAGATTTTTCTTCTCGAGCTATCTCGTCCGCAAATCGTGACAGTCTTCCCAAGTCTCTGGCTAAGATTGCGACGGTGTATCCTTCGTGCGCGAACTTCCGGGCGATGGATCGGCCTAGATCGGGTCCCACGCCGACTATGGCTGCAATTCCTCGACCCGAGCTCCCCGGCATGTTACGCATTTTTGAAGTATTCCTTCTTCTTCTTCTTCTAATATTTGCGACGATAACGTTTTTGGTGCTTTGATGCAGAGAGAAAAACTGAAGAAGAATGGTGGAGGGACGACAGATACCAAAGGTACGGTGGTGTAACACAATACCCGTTTGTCGGCATTCGTCTTTATAGACTCTTATCCCTCCCTTTCACCCCATGGTTTCTCACATCTCACTGTCTTTTAAAAGGAAGAGTTTATCTTAATTACTTCCAGTCCATATTAAAGTTCACACTTTTCTTTTTGTAACGTCCCTTATTTAAGTTCACACTTCCATTGTAGGAAACAAAACAGTGCAAAACAATGACAAACAGTGTCAAACAGTGTCCAAACAATGCCAAACAATGCACTACACAGTAAAGTCAAATTTATTTTCTTAATCTGTGTGAAGTCAAACTAGGAACTTTAATAGGGACCGGAGGGAGTATACAGTTGCCACTTTCTTCATATACTCGTAAAATTACACTGATTGTATGTAGTAATAGTAATATTCAAAAATTCCTATTTGTACACCTTTTTATACACATCAATACATCCTCGTGTATGTGAGAGTTTTTTTTGTCTGTGAATCCTAGTCCACAGACAAAAACAAAATTGTTTTTTCACAGACAAAATAAGCTATATCAATTTTAGTACTTCCTTCGTCCTGTAAACAACTTCTCACTTCATTTTCACACATATTAAGAAAATAAATTTACAAGGGGGTAAATTTAACTATTTCGACACTCTTTCGACATTGTTTGGTAATGTTTGACACTGTTTTGCACTATTTTGATATAAATAATTTGTCAAATAAGAAAGTGGGAAGAAGTGTGAAGTTGATTTCGGGATTACCCGAAAAGGAAAGTGGAAAGTTGTTTACGGGACGGAGGGAGTAAATAATTATATAATTTGAGTATTGACAATATTGTGGATATCAATACAACAACATCTATACTTCAAACTCAAAAGAGTTTGAACTCCACGGACATATGAAATTAAAGGTAAAACGATAGAAAGAGAAAGATGAGAAGGTGTTATAGGCATCGAGACGTATTTATTCCCGAATGTTTTGTAAACAAAGCCTGAATAAGAGTGTTATAAGATCTTTCTAACGAGTTATGAAAGGCTTGGAATGGATCAAAATTCGGTAAGATATGAAAAAATCGAATACTACACGAGTTTGAAGTAAACTCAGAAATGATTATGAATTTCGGGTTAATTTGTACCTACTCTTTAATACATAGCAAATGAAGTTTGAAAATAGGTTTTAGAACTCAAATTGATCTTACTATACCTATTTCTCTTAGCAATTAAGATGTGAAGAGTATTAAAATAAACACATTAGGTTTATGTAAAATCCTCGTCCTTGAGTAGTGGAAATTGCCCCGCACAACCTTCCATTCTTAGATAGAGACTCACGTAGGTTTCTGTCGCTTGTTGAAAGCTAGGTTTTTCTCTTGCTTGTCGAGCGCTAGGTTTTTCTCTCGCGTGTCGAGAACGGTGCAACGCCGCATGCAGGGTCAAGAAAGGATAACCATGACTTCTATGGATGATCTAGAGCATCGTCGTCCCAATCCAGCAATGGAGGAGGAGGTCGAAGAGTTAGTTCTTGGCGGATCAACATGGGTGGAGGATGGCAGCGGCAATGGAGGCGGCACGGGCGACGAGCAGACGGGTAGAGGTGAAGGGCTGAGCAAGGGAGACGACGGATTGGCGGTCCGCCCCCCTACTGAATCGCTGCCTTGGAGCGATCGAGGAGCTAGGGTTTCGAAGATTTATCAGTTATTTTATTTTTGATGGTGTTATTTTCGTGTTATGTTTTATGTTGCTCTGTTTTTTGTTGTTGTCTTTAGTTTTTCGTCTACAATCATGATTGGTAATTCTGCTAGATATTATGTCGTTACAAGGATCTATATGACTAGTGATTGTTGTGTCACACCCGTTTGGTGGTTAGCGATTCATATTGCTCTTTCAGGGGCGATCATCTCTGATCTAACCGTAGGGTTGATAGTGCTAGTTGGTTGCGTATAGTTATTGTCAGTGTTGGTCTCTTTGAGTTTGTTGTAACGATCTGAACTATATTGATAATAATAGTGTTTCCTTGAAAAAACTCAAATTGATCTTTCCAACGAGATATAAAATGCTTGAAACAGAAGAGTATGATAAAATCAAATACTCAGCTTGTTTTCTATAATGTAGCATTTCCAGAGTAAATAGAGCATATTTAGGGAAATTAGTGTTTGTGATTCGAAATTAGGTGCATAAGGTACTCATGCCATAAGTGTTGCTAGTTTTTAAATTTCTGAGTCATACACCGATACGGTAATCCCCTAATATTTGCAAAAAAATCTGAATAAGAATCTTAGAACTCGATATGATCTTTCCAACGAGTTATAAAACGCTTTGAATGGATCAAACTAAGTAATATATATGATAAAACCAAACACTACACGAGTTTGAAGCGAACTCGAAAATGATTATGAATAGAATTTTTTTACGTGTTCTGGATCCGAACTCTTTTAATATGTCTAGATATCGGAGTTTAATTCTCGATCAGTCTAGATTCAGATATGATATAAATAAATACTGTAGTAGGTATAAGAATTAAATAATTTTATAAAGAAATAGAAATAGCTTACGTTTAGAAGTGTTATCCTTAAAAGTCGAGCTTTAAATACTTGGACTGAAATAATTATGCATTTATTTATAAGAATAAAAATACGTATTATTATTTAATTTACTTTTTAGTGTTTGTGTAATGTTCTACATTTTTATGAAAATTGTGTTAAAATTGCAATAATTGAGGTTAAGTAATAATTCTATTATTGAATTAATTTAAATTGACTTAGACAATATTCAACCTCGGCTTCATTTATTTATATATAAGGTCTTTTTAGATTTAAATTGAATGTGTAATAAATTAAAAAAAAAAACAGGTAACAAATGTTTAAGTCTTTGGACCCAGATTTCGACTAGGAACTTACTCGATCCGAATAGGTCTGCGTTTGGGAGCTAAAAATATGAGTTAATTTTTTCAAAAAGATATAAGTTTAAACCCTAGACTTGTTGATTCCGGTCCCGTTTGACTTATTATGTGACCGAACAAACTTGAAGTTTTGAAAAAGAACTAGGTGCACACAAAAAGTGTATGCTCCCTATTGTCTGTGTATACCGTCAATTCGATTAGAAAAAGTCAGCAATTACATGTATACACGAGCGATTGTACAAAAGGTGTATACTCTTGATGTACATCAAGAACAACTCTAAAGTTTTATATATCTATTACTCGTATTTCCAAAGCTAACAAGTTCCATTGATACCAAAACGTTGAGTATTTGTTTTTAAAAAGGCAGTCCATGAAGGTATCCTGTGAGGCAAGGGTCGAGGGCGGAGTCCACATGGGGCGTTTACGGGACAAGTATTCCTCTGATAAAAAAGAGACCACTCCTACGACTTGAACTCGTGATCTTTACATCACACAACAATACCTTCACCAGTTCACCAAAGCTCCCTTCTATGTTACTCACTACTCCCTCCGGTTCTTATTAAAGTTTCCAATTTGACTTCACACATATTAAGAAAATGGATTTGACTTTACTGTGGAGTGCACTGTTTGGCACTGTTTGACACTGTTTGGACACTGTTTGACACTGTTTGGCACTATTTTGCATTGTTTTGTTTCCTAAAATGGAAGTGTGAACTTAAATAAGGGACATCCCAAAAAGAAAAGTGGGAACTTTAATAAGAACCGGAGGGAGTATTATTTATTCATTTGATAAAATTGGAATATTTACTCTTCAAGTTAGCTAAGAGATGAAGAGGTGTGGTATAAAAGTGGACACAGCACGTTAGGACGATTCTAGTCATTTTAGTAGGTTTCATGAAATCTAATTGGGGATACAATGCATGTGAAATATACTGAAGATTCGATTGGAGCTTGAAAGACGACGTCCGTACCTATTTATCATTGGGGTGTGCTTCGCTGTCAAGGGAAAAAAAACTTTATAACTGTGGAGGTGATTTCTTTTTTTATCACAACCACTTATCATGATAAATTGATAAGTTATTGTCCTCAGAAGGAATTAGTGGATATGATGAAGTCAAGTCTTAAAACAACTTATTATATCAACCATCATGATCTGTTACAACTTTCTGTTTGGAATTGTTGGTCATTAGGATTTGGGGACCCATTACAAAGAAGCTATCAGAGGAGTTGTTTTCTACAACTGGGGCTGTCATTGGCACAACATCCTTTGTCACAGGATGTCCACCAAACAGGTGATCACCCCATATATCATACACAATAAACCTTTCACCCCACCCCTTTGTTTCCCCACTTTTGACCCCTTCTCTAGCACGAAGTCCCGACCCCGGGGCCCTCGAAGGTGGCGAAACCACAAGAGATTCAGCATACGAGACAGGCATGCCGCCATTTGGAGGAACTGTAACCGGAGTGTTATCCTTGGGCTTTTTCTTTTGAGTAGTAATGGTTGTAGCAGTAATGGCAGGCTTGTTATTTCTCAACTTCAAGGATGCCTCCTTCTCGTGAAGCTCTTCTGCATTATGTATGGGTTCGGACAGTATACGGTTGCAAACCGGAGACTGGGGCCCAGGGGATGAAGATGATGGTGTAGAATTCCCACTATTGGAGATATCGAGAAGAGCATTCAGTCCTCCACCACTGGAAGAACCTTTCTTCTTTCTCTTCCTTCTCCCTTTCTCGTTTCCAACTTTGACCGTGAGATTATTGTGCCCAACCTGTGGCGGTTCTCGTGTATCTAAGCTCTCATTATCGACAATCTTCTTTTGGGGCTCCCACACAACAGTTTCTTTCTCCTGTCCTACGGTAGGACACTTTGCTGCTTTACTGCTTCTTGAATAGCCTTTCCCACTCTTTGGAATATAGAAATCTTGGGGTTTCCTAATTAGGAAAGTTCTAACGAGAAACAAAAGAGAGGAAACCAGGAATATTGGAAGAAGAGACATCCTAAATCTTTCCGAAAATGTCCGTTTGCATAAGGTAATGATGTATAATGGAAGAGCGGCTTTCATTGGTATTACAAGAATGCCATTACTCAAAGACAGCTCAAGATCTCTTTGTATTGTGGCTAGCGAAAAATCGGACTGATAAGATATCACTATCTTTTTTGTTTCCCCCGGCGATAGAGAAAACCCTTTGCATGAATTTACAGAAAAGCCATCCAACTGACACTCTGTCCCGGAAATCCCAATTTTTATGACCTTCAAGGGAAGATTGCCTATATTCTTCGCATAAACCTCTCTTGTCAATACTTGAGAGCATCCTGTAGAAGATTTTCCATCCCCCTCAAGTGTGCTTGGAAAAGATGAATTGAAAGAGCTTGGGGAGCTCATCTTGAATTCAAGATTTTGAATAGGTTCAGAATCTTCTTGAACCAAAACCATAAGGAGTGACCCTCCAATCCCACTAACAGAAACCCATTCTAAACCAGAAAGGTTGTTTCGTATTAGAATTGAAGTTTTCCAACTGCATTGAGATCCGGGTCGAAACCAAACAGGACCTAAAGATGCTACCCCGAGAGGATGGACAAGAGCCTCACTCACTGCATTTTTGTCTAAGGAGAACCCATATCTTGTTGGAGTAATAGAATTGTTTGTACCCATTAAAGAATGTGATTGAGAAGCCCCCTGCAGATGCATTTCTGGGGCCCCACATTGATCAATAATTTCTGCAGAATTTAAGATCAACTGCATAAGAACGGGTTTCTGACTCGGGTTTTTAACAGTGATCCAGTCAGAACAGAAATGTCCAACCTCAATAACAGGGAAGATCACCTCAGATTTTTCAAGGACAGACATATCACTTGCAGTTGCTTGAGATTTCCAGTTCATCAGTATTGCTTCTTCAGCGTCTGCTACAATCAGTTCCTTCACTTCCTTGAAATTATATACCATGAAATTAATTATCATAAACAAAAATATATTGGGAAATTGCAGAGTAAATACAATGGTTAACTGCATTTACCTCCCCAAGGTTTGATCAAACTAATAATGATCCTTGAAGTTTCTGAAAATTATAGAAAAGCCCTTTTACAAGTCAGTTTTTCACATATGAAACTGAAGGATGATAAAATGATAGTAGGAATTGAGTTTTTCACATCCTCAATATGTGTCCTCAAGATTATTTTTTATGGAAGTCTTTATATATTTAAACCATTAAAATGCATTTTTAAAAACCAAATTCAATCTGAAGATGTGACATCATTTACACTCTATTTTCTTTCAGTGTTAAAATGACCTTTTACGGAAAACCTGACTCGTCAAGGAGCTTATTTGTAATTTTAAGAAATCTCAAGGGTCACTTAGTAATTTTATCCTACCCCATGGAAGTAGATTTAATTACTTAGTCCTAAATAAAAGGCATTGGGGTTTGATATCATCAATCAGTTACATAGTAACTGCATCTGGACAAAGATAAATAGAGTAATCCTAGGTAAACATTAAATGTGGATAATCTAGGGAGACATTCCTATGTGACACATCTTTATTGGGCGAAGATCATAAGTCTATTTTCATGATCCAATGAATGTTTCTCACATAGGAATATATACCTAGAATGTCCAAATTGGCAATACTGAAATTAAATAGCAAGAACTACAACACTTCGAATACCTGTAAATTGTTATAGCCTAAAGAACTTGCGTTGACATTTACAGTTTCACCCTCTTCATCACAGACTTGACCAGGTGGAACAGAAAATTGTAGATCCTCTAATGCACAAATACCGAATACATCAGTACAAGGAATCCCCGCCCATGAATCACTGGAGTCATTTGTGTATACAACAATCTTGCAACCCACATGTACCTCAGGAGATTTAGATGCAAGGAGGCTGTAGCTAACCAATGCTGCTTGGGTAACAGTGTGGGGGAAAAGAATTAACCCTTCAATGTATTTAATCTGAAACTGTTGACCATTATCTCCTTCTTCAATAATTTTGACAACTCTCAATACATGAGGAGAATCATTGTGCACAAAGAGAGAAAGAACTGTGGTCCCACTATAACTACAAGGCATGAAAGCAGAAATAGACAATGAAACAAATCCGGAGTTCTTGGTAATCTCCATTTCTAGAGGTATAACAACTGCATCTATTTTTTTCTGTGGTGATCTCAGTAAGTTCATGGAAAAAGCACCAAAAAACATCCCTTTAAAATCCAATGAAAAATCAAATTCCATGATAGGTTCACTTTTCCCTGGACCCACAACCCAATCTCCTCGTGGCCTCAACGAAACTTCTCCATTTGTATCATTCAGCCACTCCTCCAGAGACAATGAGCAACCTTCTACATTGCTATTAATAACGCTACAAACTGTTTTTGTCAAATGGGAAGTATTTCCTAAAGAAACCCAAGAAATAACCTCCTCCACATAAAGGGCTTCATTAAAAGGGTTAAAAAGTGTGAATTTCTTACTCCCCTTTCCACTAAGAATAACGGGTGGAATCCCATATGGTGAATTGACAGCAAATCCTTGAGCTTTAACCATGAAACCGCCAAAATTTGTCTGCAAAACAAGGTGCGCTGAGGATAGGCCTAAAGAAGTAGGAATAAACACAAAGCAAACCAAAGACGTCTCTCCGGGAGCCAACACCACCTCACTAGAAACATTATTACATTTATAGAACTGAGGATTGGTACTATATGGCTCAAAGACAACCAATGTTTTTTGTCTGTGTGTGTTCCTTAGCATAAGAGATGCTATTGAAGGAAAGAATAAATAATTCTCTCCCCAGTCAAGAACATGAGGTCTAACTTCTATGTAGGGTAAAAAACTATCTGTGATCTTCAATCCAATAGTGTCATCAACTAGTTTCCTCTTAAAATTATCATAATTCAACGAGCAAGATATACTTCTTCTTCCATTCACTATCCTAAAAACACCAGAATCTGACTTTCGAGTTTCAGATGGTACACGGGCAGAACTGTCTTTTTTAGATAAAAGTCCACTCAATGTTGAAGGAAAGCATAACAAGTTCGGATTTGGGCATGCACTGGAAATACTCAGAAGAGGAACAGAAACTTCTTGGGTCAATTCAGACCTTACGTCATAATCAGCTTCATTTCCAGCTACCAGACAAGGTTCACAATTGGCAACAATAAGAAGGGTATATAGGACTATACCAAGATGGAACACACCCCTGAAAATATAACATAATTAATATCGAAATTAATTTTTTAATTAAAAAACACTGGCTGTTCAGTAATTATATTATTACAGATATCAAAATCAGGGTTTAAGATGACAGCGGCCAAGGATTGAGCTAAGCAGAAATATAACACTCGGTAAAAACACAACTTTGAGAAAACAGAGAATAAAAATTCCCACCATTATTATTAATTAAGAGCAGTAATAACGACCCAAATCTGTCCCATAAATGAACACGTATGGAACATACCTCAAACAAAGATCCAATTTTTTATAGTAAAAATGAGTTGCAAGCGTGCAGCAGTTAATGACATCATAACTTCAACCTTTTAATGCTAAATAAGAAAAGATGATGAAAAAAAGCAGTTTCACTCAGAAAAACTGAACTGAAAATATTCACAAGGTTCCGAAAACGAAAAGAAACACTCCGCCGGCAGAGAGCAAAAAACATGCTGCAAAGAAAGGACAAATAGAAAGTGGTGCAAAAACCGATAATCGGAGGAGGGTATATCCGAAAGGAAGAAAGAAAAAACAGAGAGTGGTGAAGTTACCACAAGGAAAGGTGCGTCTTCATAAGAGTGGTCATATTAAGGAAGAAGAAAGACTCCATGTCTGCAAAAAGCTACAAAAAAGGCATCTGCAATCTGTGAGCTTTCATTCTTTAATTTCCCAGTAATCGGAACTTGTTCTTTTTTGTTTTGTTGCCGGGAATCGAATTGGTCCAAGAAAATGGTTGGATTGGAGCAAGCACCACACACTTTGGTTACAGCGAATGAATGAATGAATGCTCTCTGAAAAGAAAGACACTGAGAAGAAGTAGACAAAATGGCGAATGCCCCTCTTCAGCGCCAAATTACTTGACTGCCCCCTGAAGAAAACGACTTTTGGTGTGCCTTTATTCTTGTTTCGGGAGCTGACGTGACGAATCAGCAGGTTTTTGTTCCTTTTTTTCTTTCTACTTTTCTTCATTTCCAGGATTACATTTTTTTAAGTATGTCTTCAGTAAATTATTAATAAAGGATTTAATAACAAATGAGGAGTAAAAACTAAAAAGACACGGAGTACTTTATTGTTGCGTAATTTTCTTCTCTTCTAACTTTGGTTTTCATCCTAGAAATAATATCTTAATTGTCTACTCGTTTCATTAAAAAAATAATTAAGGAAAAAATATGACTCTGAGTTATATGAGATATTGTGTTACCGCATCTGACTCCTTATTCCATACGGTACTTTTCTGTCCCATAAACTTTACTATATTCCAATTTTATAGAAATGTTCTTTATTAAATATAGAGAAAATTATCAACTTCGTCCTCATACTATAACGAAAACGTCAATTTGATTTTCATACTTTAAAAAACTAATCAAATCCCAGAATTTTGAAAAAAGTTCAATTGAGTCTATTAAAAAGTTACATGTCATGCCAGCAGGTCACTTGCTGACATGGTGCACACATGAAGATCCACGTGTGCGCCACATAATTGGGGATGGTTGACTTAGCTTCCACGTGTGTGTCACGTCAACAAAGTCACTCTGTCTGGACTACAACATGTGTGTCACGTCTGCAGGTGACTTAGTGATGTGGTGGATAACCGGCTATATTTGTGAAATGTGACAATGTTTTCTGGATCACCTTCACCTCCTCATTATCTATTAGTTCACTCCATTTCAGCAACCAACATTGCATTAAACCCCAATTTTTGTGGTTATTGGTTCCCATTGCCGACCATCATTACGACATATTGGCTCCTTCCCTGTACTCATGTAGCATCATACCAGCTCCTCTTTAGGCCTTCTTTGTGTTCTGCCACATTCTTCCTCTTAGGCACTGGAAATATTTCATCAATCTTGAGATCTTGAAGATCGAAAAGGAGATTAGAGACTAAAAAGATATAGAAATCTTGAATATAATATTTTATACGGAGTATTTGTAATTATTGGGTTAATGGTCCGATGGGGGTTGGCCCAAAAAACCCTTAAGGCTCATGAGGACGGACGTCCTCAGAAGGCCCAAGACTAGCGTAGCGGGTACCTTGGCACAGGAGCAGAATGAGACGCACGTCTCGTAGGACTTGGGGACGAACGTCCCCATCCCTCAGCGGACAGTCAAGATCCTGGTGGGATTCTGCATTTAATATAGAAGATTTGGTAGTTGCGCATCTAATGTAGAAGATCTGATGGTCGGGATCGAGCTAGGCAAACCCATGTGGACGAACGTGCTCACCCCTTGGCGTGAAGGCAAGATCCTGGTGGTCGCGCATTTATTTCAGGGATTTGGTGTTTGGGATCAAGTCATCCACAGCTAGGTACAATGCATCTAGCTACCCATTGACGGTATAAATAGTAGCATTTATTTCATTGTAAGGGGAGGCAACTTAGCACTCTAGTATTATAGCATTCTTATTATCTCGTAGCATATCTGGTGACGAACGTCCTCACTTTGTAGCACATCATCTGTACGAACGGCCTCACGCTTTGTTGGGGATGAACAACCTCACGTCTTAAAATTATATTGAAACTTCTTATTGGGCCTTATCTTACTTGTTTGACCTTATTCTCCTAAAATACCCACTCGAAACCCTTAAGTTGTGTGTTGGGCCTACGGGTTGAAGGGAATAAACCTCAACACTGGCCCCGTCTGTGGGAAACTGATCAAAAAGTTCTTCCAAAACCAAGCTCTTAGCTGAAAATCACTCTCAAACATTAAAAACAAGTAAGATGGCAAGGAACAATGATGGAAACTCCTATAATCTCTGCGAACGATTGTCACGCAGCCAAAGAGCCCACCAGCAGGCGGCAGGCGGCCTGTCCAGCAGCTTATGGAGTCGCGGGGACCTTGGGGTGCTTACTGACATGATTCCCCACGAACTCAGGAGGGACCCTAATGCACTGAGGGAGATGGCAGATACCATCCGCCTTTTAGCAGACGAGCGAGAAGCGGAGCGGGTGTACTCTGCTGACACCGAGTGTATCCCGGTCTCCCCGATCTGCACTATGTAGACGCTCGGAGAACGTACAAGCGAGACCGCGGAGTCTCGCTCCTCGATCCAGACTAGGAATGTCACGAACGTCCACTCTCCGGAGACGGGCGGAGCTGGGGGAACCAGGCACAGGATCTTCATAGGTGCGCAATAGCATGAGATCCGGGACCGCACCTCAGTGATGCCTCGTAATGACCGTGCAACCAGGGAGCAGAGCCCCCATGGTCAACGGCTTGGGATAGGGGTCCCAAGTCATCAACAGGTAGCATGGCGCTGGCGCCGTGCGCACCCAAAATGCCATGGCACTGATGACCCCCGTAACCCCAGTCACCGAATATCGAGATGCGATGATCGTGGACCTCTAGAGGCAGATCAATGAACTGAGAGGATGGGCGGACACTAACCCAGCTCAGCCCAGGTTTGCACTATTCTCTCCCTTCTCCGCCAGATCATGGCAGCAGAGATTCCAAGGGACATTCGGTCGTCCGGTGCCCTGACTTATAATGGGGCTGGGGACCCGAAAGCCCACCTACTTTTCTTCCAGGGAGAACTCTCCATACTGGGAGCCTCCGATGAAGCCATTTGCCGGCTCTTTTTCAGCACCCTCAGAGGGCCGGCGTAGGAATGGTTCGGGCAGCTCATTCCCGGATCCATCAACATCTTTGAACAATTGTCCAGACAGTTCATGGCGCAATTCATCTCCAGCTCCACGCCAAAGAGGCACTTTAGCTGGTTGACGAGCGTCCGCCAAGGGAAGGAGGAAACCCTTACCACCTTTCTCACAGGGTGGAGGGATGAAACCCCGAAGGTCAAGGACCTCACGGAGTGCACGGGCATCACCCTCTTCACCAACGCACTTGTAACCGGGGATCTGTACATGGATTTAAAGAGGAACCCCAGGAGCAGTTATGTCGAGGTGATAGACAGGGCACAGAAATATACGACGGACGAGGAAGAAATTGCCCAACGAGATGGGACGTCTGTCCTGCAAGCCGCGAGATGTCAGACCGTCTGGGGCCAGGGCCATCAGACCCCCCCCCCCCCCCCCCGTGAAACAAAAAGAAGAAGACGAGCGGTGGCTACTCCCCTTGGGGAACCCAGGGTCCTCTAGACGACGCCTGGCGGGAGTTTACCGGACTTACCCCCTTGGCGTTCACGGCGAGCCAAATCTTTGAGGCCATCAAGGATGAAGGGATGCTCGAAGTGTCGTCCGTTGCCAGAGGCCCAATGGGAAAGAACCTCAACGTCTACTGTGAATATCATCGCAAGGAAGGGCACAACATGGATCACTACAACATCATGAGGATGGCCATTGAAGGACTTATTCAGAGGGGCTACCTCGGAGAGTTCACAAGGGGAGCGACCCCTCAGAACCAGAAACAGCCGGACAAGAAACCACTCACATGGCGCGGGGACGACCGGCGGGAGGTAGAGGCCGAAGACGCCGATTATCGCCATGCGGATAAATTCCTGGAGGGATCCCTCGGGATGAACGGCCACAAGAAGAAACTGGAGATCAAGTGATCTTTGGGGCGCAGGGTATACGCCCGTCGGACGTTCTTCCTCCACAACATGGACGGACATGCTGCTGGCGTATAGAACGTAGGGCACGTGAAGAAATCCTATCAGTGACACCATTTTGCTAAATTCCTTTCTCCCAAATAAATAAATAAATAAAATAAAAAAGAAAATGGGGGAAGAGGGAGACATAACTCCCGAGGTCAGGGAATCCCAAACCGTTCTCCATCTCAGAACACTAACCAGTGCGGTACGGCCTCAAGGCTTAAGCTGCTGGTGCGGTGGGAAGGTGGACAAGCGTCGGATAAACCGTTATCCATCTCGAAACACTAACCAGTGCGGTACGGCCTCAAGGCTTAAGTTGCCGGTGTAGTGGGAAGGTGGACGAGCGTCGAATAAACCGTTCTCCATATCGGAACACTAAGCAGTGCGGTACGACCTCAGGGCTTAAGCTGCCGGTGCGGTGGGAAGCGTCGAAAAAACCGTTCTCCATCTCAGAACACTAACCGGTGCGGTACGGCCTCAAGGTCTAAGCTGCCGGTGTAGTGGGAAGGTGGACGAGCGTCGGATAGAGCGTTCTCCATCTTGGAACACTAACTAGTGCGGTACGACCTCAAGGCCTAAGCTGCCGGTGCGCTGGGGAGGTGGACGAACGTCAAATAAATCGTTCTACATCTCGGAACACTAACCAGTGCGGTATAGCCTCAAGGCCTAAGCTGCCAGTGCGGTGGGAAGGTGGACGAGCGTCGGATAAACCGTTCTCCATCTCGGAACACTAACCCGTGCGGTACGTCCTCAAGGCCTAACCTGTCAGTGTGGTGGGAAGGTGGACGAACGTCGGATAAACCGTTCTCCATCTCGAACACTAACCAGTGCGGTACGGCCTCATGGCTTAAGCTGCCGGTGCGGTGGAAAGGTGGACAAACGTCTGATAAACCATTCTCCATATCAAAACACTAACCAGTGCAGTACGGCCTCAGGGCTTAAGCTGCCGGTGCAGTGGGAAGGTGGATGAACGTCGGATAAACCGTTCTCCATCTCAAAACACTAACAGTGCGGTAGAGCTGCCGGTGTGGTGGGAAGGTGGATGAACGTCCCCAAGAGGATAAAACGTTCTCCATCAAAGAACACTAACCAGTTCGGTAAAGCTGATGGTGCGGTTGGAAGGTGGACGAATGTCCCTAACAGGATAAAACGTTCTCCATCTCAGAACACTAACCAGTGCGGTAAAGCTGTCGATGCGGTGGGAAGGTGGACGAACATCCCCAAGAGGATAAAACATTATTCATTAAAGAACACTAACAAGTGCGGTAAAGGTGCCGGTGCGGTGGGAAGGTGGGCGAACGTCCCAATAAGGAT